AGAATTCCTCTCTATAGAAAACTTTGGTTTTTTTTTTCTATTGTGACTGCAAAATGATTATTTTTGCAAAATAATAAAAGATTTCAATATTTTACATATTTGAGCAAATAATTTTTCACTTCCTTTCTATTTTCTTTTTTTCTTTTCTTTTTTTTTTTTTTTTTTTTTTTTTTTTTTTTTTTTTTTTTTTTTTTTGAGATAGGGCTCACTGTCATCCAGGCTGGAGTGCAGTGGCACGATCTTGGCTCACTCACTGCAGCCTTCACTGTTTGGGTTTAAGCAATTCTTCCACCTCAGCCTCCTGAGTAACTGGGATTACAGGTGTACACCACCACACCTGGCTGATTTTTGAATTTTTAGTGAAGACAGCATTTCATCATGTTGTCCAGGCTGGTCTCAAATTCCTGACCTCTGGTGATCCACCTGCCTTGGCCTCCTAAAGTGTTGGGATTACAGGTGTGAACCCTCGTGCCTGGCCACTACTTTTCTTAAATTATGAGAAAACCTAATGTAACTGCTCAATTAGGTTTCTATAAAGAAAAAAACCCTTAAATTTGGCTGTGTTACACTTTCCTTCCTTTATTACTTTATTATTTTGGTTTTTCAAATTGTTGTTTATATTAATATCCTAGTCTTAACACATTGATTATTATAATACATAATAATGTTTATTACAAGTGGTCTCAGTATTTTGGGGAGACAACAAGTGAAAATATACAAATGCATTAAGCAGGTATGGCCATTTTTAGTCACCCTTTTAAAAATTTGTACATTAGCTGAGTTATTTTTCTGGTCTTAGATGGTTAAATCCAAGATGTTTAAATCAGATGGCTAAATCCTGTTAACCAGAATGATAACATTCTGTCAACTTTGAAAAGAAGATAAGACAGTTTTATTCTCATTTACAGTTCTTTTTGAGTAAAAGACAAAGGATATCTTGACTGTCTCGAAAAAAAATCATTTCTACTGGAATGTCTTATTCAACATTGATGATTTGGGCTGGAGTCTCCCCCCCTTGGATTATACAGTATAATGCATATTTGGCAAATCATGATTATCTGATAAGGCACATAATATTGTAGATGATTTTTCTTTTTAAAAAGCTCAATTTTTTGAGAAAAGTCTTCTACAAATTTATTTCACAATCGAAACCTTTTTTTTTTTTTAAACTGTTTTTGATAGTAAAATTAGCTTTGACAAATATCAGGAAAATATGAATACTACAGAAACTAGGATGTTATGTAGTCCATTTTATTATTAGAGAAAGAAGAGTTATGATTCCCAGAGTTATTCCTTTATTTTGTTATAAGGATACTTGATGGTATAACAACAACAGCAACAACGAAAAAGGCAAGCGCTTTTGTATTACAACTTTGACACCATGGAAAGCTAAGAGCCTTTGAAAGTTCTAGGAGTGTTCAGCCCGGACTACTGAACACTTAATGACTACTATTGTTGCATATATGAAGGTTAATTTAAATATATTTTAAGATGGTTTGTGTTTTCTCATTTCTTTATTAGAGCCAAATACCACAAGTTGAAATATGGGACAGAATTGAATCAGGGAGATATGAAGCCCCCAAGCTATGATTCTGGTAAGCTAATTTTAAAGAAAGTTTAAATGATAAAAAGAAGTTAATGTCTAGTATTTTCTAGCAACAATGTTTTTAACTGTAATTTTCTAATTATTTGCATGTTAGTTATTTTTTCTGACCTGCTTGTCTTTTGGCACCATTTAGTGTCATATCATTTTCCACCACCTTCCTTCCTTTTCCCTCTTGCCCTTTCTTTTAGTTCCCCATTTTCTGCTTAAGTTCTACACTTACTGGAAGGATCAGAGTTCATGGGTTAACATGCACCAACATAACCTTGTCTTGCTGCGTCTGCCCAGCATTAATGGGAACTTCGAGATGTGCAGTACAAAATACATCATTTCCTTGAAATCCTGAGAAAGAGTAGGAAATAGGGAGATAAGAGATTTCTTCTTAAATCACAGAGGAATTCCTCATCCCATAAACTTAATTCTTCAGTTTCAGGTGGAAAACTGTTTTGGTCTTTCTTGCAGATGGGAGCTTCTGTAACTAGAACATGTTTTAACAGCCGAAGTATTTATTATATTTTTGAGTTATTTCTTCCTTTTCTTTCTCCTACTTCTTCAGACCACTAAACAATACAAAATAGTACTTGTAAATAATCAGATATTAAGGAATATAGATATAATTCACTTGTTAGTAGATATTAGGGAAGAATGACAAAAATTAATCAAAAGTTATCAGCCATGTTTCAGATAGTTACATTTTTGGCATAATTTCAGATTAAATTTCCCAATTAGGTATCTGAAGACATTAATGTTCATTTATATCATTTAAGGAAGTATGTACCTTGTGTTAGAGGCTTTATGTATGTATATTCACTTTAATTCTTAAAATAGTTATTTGGTAAAGATAATATTTATTTACATTTTACATATGTGAAATTTAAATTCAGTGAAGTGGAGAAACTTGCCCAACCTCACACAAATATTAAGTAATGATAGAATATGGAGCTGAATCTAGGTCTTTCTGACTCCAGAATTCATATTCCTACCATTTTATCATACTGCTTCTATATTTGACAATGTATGAAAGAACTTTCCAAAATGAGTTCTAAATGTACTGCCAATTTTATAGTTAATTCATTGTAGTAATGTATTAATGCATTTTTCTCAGTTGAATATTAAATGCTTGAGATCTAGAGCAATGCAGTTGATCACTGGTGTATTTTTTTCCTTTGTTTTTAAATTATTCTGTCTTTTATTTGAGTGTCTGTTCTTATAATCTGAGATGTGTGTACATTTCAAAATAATTTTTTTTTTAAATGTAGGCTATTTGTTAACATCTTTTCTAAAATGGTATTAACTGACTCAAAGGAGTGATTTTAATCAGTATTGTATTAAAAGGTTTTTACTTCTTAAGTTTTGGATATCAATTTAAGAGAACAGAAGCCTACATGCAATATATTTTTAAAATGTTTGTAAGTAAACATGACTGGCTGCAGTGGCTAATGCCTGTAATCCCACTGTGGGAGGCCCAGGTGGGGAGGATTGCCTGGGCTAGGAGTTTGAGACCAGCCTGGGCAACATAGCAAGACCCTGTCTCTACCAAAAAAAATTTAAAAATTAGCTGGGCATGGTGGCACATGCCTGTAGTTCTAGCTACTGGGAAGGCTGAGGTGGAAGGATCACTTGAGCTCAGGAGTTTGAGGTTAGGTTACAGTGCCCTGTGATTTTGCTATTACATTCCAGTCTGAGTGACAGAGTGAGATCCTTTTTTTTTTTTGAGACGGAATCTTACTCTGTCCCCAGGCTGGAGTGCAGTGGCGCGATCTCAGCTCACTGCAACCTCCGCCTCCTGGGTTCAAGTGATTCTCCTGTCTCAGCCTCCCAAGTAGCTGGGACTATAGGCGCGTGCCACCATGCTCAGCTAATTTTGTATTTTTATTAGAGACGGAGTTTCACCATGTTGGTCAGGATAGTCTCGATCTTCTGACCTTGTGATCCGCCTGCCCCGGCCTCCCAAAATGCTGGGATTACAGATGTGAGCCACTGCACCTGGCTCAGATCCTGTCTCTTAAAAATTTTTTTTACAGTTTGTAAGTAAATAGCACAGCTCAGTAGAAAGGGTTTGGGCTTTAAAAGCAGATAGATACAAATTTGACTCTGCCCCAACATTTTAAATTGCCGTGATACTACTTAATTTCTCTATGGTTACTTCATTCCTGATCTGTTAACTAGGAAATGTTCTGGGAATACTTCCTAACTCAGATGTTTATTTTCTTAGTATACAATGCCTAGTTATTCGCAGTATACAATACTTAGTTAGTACCTAGTATCATTCCAGCTGTCTATCTTTCTAACCATCCATTCATCTTACAAATATTACATTATAGTATTTTTCTCATTTTAGAAAGTTTTTCAGATCCAGTACCAAATCCAGTGAATAAGAAAACAGTGCTGTTGGATTTTTATAGGGAAGATAGACAGTTAAAGAAGTGATTACAATAATATATGACATGTATAATGGAGAAAAAATAAGTGTTATTGAGCACAGTAGCACAAATCTAGTCAAGTGGTCAAGAAAGACTTCTTGGAGGAAGTGATGTTTAATTTTGACATCTGAAGGACAAGTAGGAATTAGGGCAAGTAGACTGACTATTTGTTGAATGGGAGGTGGGAAAAAGGCAAAGTATTAGCAGCAAAGCTTCTGAGGTAAGATCACAGCGCATTTGAGAAATAGGATACCTGAATAGTAGTGGGAGGAGGGAAGGAATGTTCCAGATGTAGGTAGAGAGTTAACTGGAGGGTAAAATATGTTACAAAGGCCTTGTGAAACATGTTGAGTAGTTCACGCTTAGGAATATTCTAAGCATTTGAAGAAGGAAAGCATTTGAAGGATCTTTTTTAAAATTTTTTATTTTAATTTAATTTAATTTTATTTTTTTGAGACGGAGTCTTGCTCTGTCACCAGGCTGGAGTGCAGTGGCGCAATCTTGGCTCACTGCAACCTCCACCTCCTGGGTTCAGGCAATTCTTCTGCCTCAGCCTCCTGAGTAGCTGGGACCACAGGCGCGTGCCACCATGCCCAGCTAATTTTTGTGTTTTTTTTAGTAGAGACTGGGTTTCGCCATGTTGGCCAGGATGGTCTCGATGTCTTGACCTTGTGATCTGTGCGCCTCCGCCTTCCAAAGTGCTGGGATTACAGGCGTGAGTCACTGTGCCTAGCCAGGATCTTAATTAGAATTTATCATCAGATTTACTCTTGGATTACATGGGCTGTGGTGTGGAAGATGGATTAGAGAGGAGCAACGTTGGAGATGGGGCAGCTGATTAGAGGACTGTTGCAGCAACTTGGGCAAATGAGGAAGGTTTCCTTGACAAGGGCGTATTCAGGAAATATTTAGGAAGTAAAATCTGCAGGAACTAGTTCTATATATATATATATATATATATATATATATATATATATATAAATTTGATTTTATGCTGATCTTCTATTATTCCAATTTTAGTATATGTGCTGCCAAAGCAAGCATAGGAACTACTTTTTGATTGGATGTAGGGGGTGAAAAAAGGATGAGTCAGCCGGGCGCGGTGGCTCAAGCCTGTAATCCCAGCACTTTGGGAGGCCGAGGCGGGTGGATCACGAGGTCAAGAGATCGAGACCATCCTGGTCAACATGGTGAAACCCTGTCTCTACTAAAAATACAAAACAGCTGGGCATGGTGGCGTGTGCCTGTAATCCCAGCTACTCAGGAGGCTGAGGCAGGAGAATTGCCTGAACCCAGGAGGCGGAGGTTGCGCCATTGCACTCCAGCCTGGGTAACAAGAGTGAAACTCTGTCTCAAAAAAAAAAAAAAAAAGAGAAAAAAGGATGAGTCAAAAGTGACTCCCACATTTGTAGTTTAAGCAACTAGACCAGAAGTAGGTTTGGAAAATGGTGGGTTCACTTTTGGATTTATTTCTTAAATAACCTAGTGAAGATGGCTAGTTGACAGTTGAGTATATGGATCTGGAGCTCATGTCAGAAGTATGGATGTGTTTGATACATAAATTTGAGACGCATCAACATGTGGTACTGGTGGCACTCAAGGCCATTGGAGTCGAAATGATCACCCAGGAACTGTATGTGAGGTAAGATTGCATAAAATGTAATCCTGAGGAATGACATTTAAAAGACTGATAGAAGAATGGAAACATGAAAAGGAACCTGATACAGAGTACATTAATGATAGGAGGAAAACCAGGAGACCAAGGAAACCAAGAGAAGAGAAGGTTTCCAGATGGAAGGACTGTTCAACACTATTGATTAATTCCCAGAGGGCTGAAGAATATCTCTAGGACTTTCTGACATACGGGACACTGAGAACTTTAAGCAGTTTTAGGAGAGAGGTGAGGGCAGAAACGAAGTGGGTATAGTCAGCTTTCAGGAAGCTTAGGTTGTGAAGGTGAGAGAGAGAGATTAGAGGGCAGTAGCTAGAAGGACACGTGTGTGTGTGTACATGCACACGTGCACGTGTGTGATATGTGTCTTAGTATAAAAGGGAAAGAGATACTCAAAATAGGAAGATAATCTGAAGAAGTGATAGGGATTGGATTCCAAGCATAGCTGGAGCATGGCAGGAGGAGCATGTCTTTTATCATTACCAAGACAGAATGTAGGAAGTTAGGTTAACAGGTTTATAGATTTGGATTTCTGTTTGGTGGTGGATATTTAAGAGAATGTCCATAAATTATAACTTTATGTATGAGATAGGATTATCTGCTGAGAGTGGGTCAGATGTTTAAGAAAAGTAGAGAAGGTTTAAATGCTAATGGTAAACACGAAGACTAACGTTCTAGGAAATAGTAGGATCGAGTAAAGCTAAGGGTCCAGTTGAGGTGTGTGATCATGAGTGTATGTAGAGGCAGTAGTTGCACATTTGGTAGCCTGGGTAAAGTCAGAGAGAATGCAGTTAGTTAACAGTTGAATTCACTGAATTCATGGATAGACAAAGGGACAAAAAATTGGCAAAGGACTAAAACTACAGAGGGAACGAAGTGAAGACACAAGGAGGCTGGCTAATGGGTGAGTTAAAAATAAGGGTAGATTCTGGTCTAGAGCAGGTCAGCAAACTTTTCTTTAAAGGGCCAGATAGTAAATATTTTGGGGTTTGCAGGCTGTTTGTTGCAGCTACTCAACTCTGCCACTGTAACATAGAAGCATTCATAGACAGTACATAAATGAATTGATGTGTCTGTATTATAAAAACAGGTGGTAGGCTGGAGGCTGGATTTGACATGCACGCAGTAGTGTGCTGGCCCCTGGCTAGAGGTCCCAGCTAAATTAAAGAACTAGTGGATTTAGGGAAAAAAGAACTAGTGAATTGGGAGTAATTGAGCCTGATGGGTATGCTTAGAGAATCAGTTTGCATCTGTGATAGTTCTTCGTAATGACAAGACCTAAGATATGACAGCTAAGGAGGATGGTGGCTGTGGAGAGGCAGAAGTGGATCACCTATATGCATGTTGATTTCATTCAAGATGATGTAGAAGGTTGGTGGCAGAAGCATGTGAACCAGGTTTGGAGGGTTATCTAGGGATTTGTAGATGACAGTGATAAGGACTAGAAAGTGCAGAAAGGGTGTATTCAAATAGCATAACCCTTAAGGAAGCAGGTATTTTTTTTTCGTTCTTTATCCTTTTATCTATTTACCATATTTTCCGGAAACTGATAATCCAGATATTTCTGAAACATTTTTCATGAAAATTTACTTTTCCTTTCTAAATTTTTTTTGGTCCCACTTCCAGACCATCATATTTCTACTTTAGGAGAATATTGTATCAGACTATGTTAAAATGTATTTATTTTTGATATTTCAGTCTCTCCTATTTAATGTTAGAAGCCAGGTAGTTGTTGAAAGTTGAATGTATGTATCCAGTGTGATAAATTCTGTCTTTTAATTGAGAAGTTTAGACCATTTACATTTATTATGATTATTGATATGGTTAGGTTAATGCTACCACCTTTGTAGTTTGTTTCCTTTTGTTCCGTCTGTTCCTGTTTCTTTTCTTTCTTTTGTAGCCTTCTTTTGAATGAATCAGATATTTCTTAGGATTCAATTTTCTCTCTTTTTTATATATATTTATATATATATATATATATTATTTTTCTCCTTTTCTTCGGCCCTTCCCTGAGACAATTTTATCTCTTGCTGACTTAATAGCAATAACTCTTATTTTAGTAGTTGCTTTAGGGCTTACAGGGCACATCTTTAACTTACTACAGTCTATTTTCAAGTGATAACATACCACTTCAAGGAGAGTACAATAACCTTATAATAGTGTACTTTCGTTTCTCTTCTTCCAGTCTTTGTGCTATTGTTGTCATGTATTTTACTTCTGTGTGTGTGATAAACCACACACTACATTGTTATTTTTTTCCAGCAGTCTATTGTCTTTTAAAGATCTTTAAATAATAATTTGAAAAAAATTCCCAATGCCTATTATTCCTTTGTGTAGATCTGTGTTTCCACATTATTTTCCTTCAACCGTAAAGCCTTCCTCTCACATATCTTGTAATACAGAATGCTAGTAATTAATTTTTGCAGCTTTTCTATGTCTGAAAAGACTTTGTTTTTGCTCATAGGCATTATCTCTGATGAGATATCTGCTGTTGTCCTTATTTTTGTTCCTCTGTATATATTGCGACCTTTTTTTTCTGGCTGCTTTTAGGATTTTCTCTTTATCATTGGTTCTAAATGATTTTATTTATTATTATTAGCTGGTATAATTAGCCTTCCCTACATATTTCTTATGCTTGGAATTAAGTTTCTTCGATCTATGGGTTTATAGTTTTCACGGAATTTGGAACTTTTCAGCCATTATTTCTTCAGATACTGTTTTTGTTCCTCCCTGTGCTATGATCTGATTACTCTATCTAGGTGGTGTCTGGGTCAGTCATGAGGCTCACCTGTTTGCTTCCCCGTTCTCTCAGGTATTACTGTCCTTTGTTGCGTGGTGTCCAATGTTTTGAAAACCATTGTTTCATCTGTTTTGTTTTATAGTTGTTTCAGCAGACGGGTAAATCTAGTCTCTATTACTCCAGTTTGACTGGAAATAGCAGTCAAATACTTTTGATATTACGAGGAAATTAAACTGTTATCTGTATTAGAATCCTCATTTTTATATGTCACTTTTTGAACTCAACAAGGCAAGGATGAATGTGATAGTTGATGACTACTTACTGACCATGGAAAGAACTGTGAGTTTACCCTGAATAAGGAATATAAGAGCTATTTGACTTTGGGTTTCTTTTTTTAACCTCAATTTTATTTATTTATTTATTTATTTTTCTGAGATGGAGTCTCTAGCTCTGTTGCCCAGGCTGGAGTGCAGTGGCATAATCTTGGTTCACTGCAACCTTCACCTCTTGGGTTCAAATGATTCTCCTGTCTCAACCTCCCTAGTAGCTGGGATTACAGGCATGCACCACCATGCCCAGCTGATTTTTTTTTTTTTTTTATTAAGACAGAGGCTCATTCTCTTGCCCAGGCTGGAGTGCAGTGGTGTGATTTTCACTCAGTGCAACGTCTGCCTCCCAGGTTCAAGTGATTCTCCTGACTCGGCCTCCTGAGTAGCTGGGATTACAGGGGTGAGCCACCGCACCTGGCCTCCAGCTAATTTTTGTGTTTTTAGTAGAGATGTTTTATGTTTTTACCACATTGGCCAGGCTGGTCTCAAACTCCTGAGTTCCAGGGATCCACCCACCTTGGCCTCCTAGAGTGCTGGGATTGCAGGCATGAACCACCACGCCCAGCCGTAACCTCAGATGTTACTTAGAGAGTCAGATTTTATCTCAATATAAGAATATACTTTTTTTTTTTGGCTGGACATGGTGGCTTATGCCTATAATCCCAGCACTTTGGGAGGCCGAGGAGGGTGGACCACAAGGTCAGAAGATCGAGACCATCTTGGCCAATATGGTGAAACCTATCTCTAATAAAAATAAAAAAATTAGCTGGGCGTGGTAGCACATGCCTGTAATCCTAGCTACTTGGGAGGCTGAGGCAGGAGAATCGCTTGAACCAGGGAGTTGGAGGTTGCAGTGAGCTGAGATTGTGCCAGTGCACTCCAGCAGCCTCACGACAGAGTAAGACTTCTCAAAACAAAAAAACACTTTTTTTTTTTTAAGAGGATAGGGTGCATTCTTATTTGATTCTTAGTAAGATATAATTTATATACCATAAAAGTCACCCTTTTTAGTGTTTTTTTAAATAAATTATCCCCTTGAACTTTCTACTCTATTCTATTAATTTGTCTTTTCTAGTTTTATATTATTATTATTGTTTTTTTATTATGCTTTAATTTCTGTGGTACATGTGCAGAACGTGCAGGTTTGTTATGTAGTTATACATGTGCCATGGTGGTTTGCTGCATCTATCACCCCATCATCTACATTTGGTATTTCTCCTAATGCTATTCCTCCCCTAACACCCTACCCCCTGTTATCCTTTCTCTAGCCCCCCACCCCCCAACAGACCCAGTATATGATGTTCCCCTCCCTGTGTTCATGTGTTCTCATTGTTCAACACCCACTTGTGAGTGAGAACATGCAGTGTTTGGTTTTCTGTTCTTATGTCAGTTTGCTTAGAATGATGGTTTACAGCTTCATCCACGTCCCTCTAAAGGACATGAACTCATCCTTTTCTATGGCTGCATAGTATTCCACGATGTATATGTGCCATGTTTTCTTTATCCACAAATCTCTACCTCTCTACTCTAATCCCCTGGCAACCAGTACAGCTAGTGCTCGACTTATGACCACTATTGGTTCCGACAGACCGGTCGTAACACGATTTGGTCGTAAGTTGAGTAGGCTATATGTACAGTACTGTGAAATGATGTTATAAAAATATTTAAGTCATATTTTATCATAATTTTCTTTCATTATTGTTACATATCATAATTTTCTTTGTTCATTTTATGCCATTTGTATCATCTCTACACCATTTTGTTTCTTATTTTTACATTCGTCAGGTTTAAGTAAAACACTGCATTACCAGTACAACTGGTTTAATATTTGCAAAACATACAAAATTACAAAATACAGGTGCATACAAAAATACAAAATACAGGTGTAAAAAATACCATAGGAAACATTTTCTCAATTGTAAAACATATCAAAATATATAAACATGTATGAAACATTTTATTGGCCGCTGGTGCTTGGCTGCGGATCATTGATGTCGTCATCTGAGGCAGCAGTTGGGGTTACTGGAGTTGGTTTTTTCATAAACATGGTGAGCTTTATCTGAATTGTATGTTTCTTTTTTTCTTCATAAATTTCACGATACGGATGAAATACATCGTGTGCCATCCGTTCAATCCTTGCAAATCGTTCAGTGTTTGGGTCCATTGCTTCGAAATGTATGAGAAATTTATTGGGAGGGGTTTGATGAAAAATATCCAAGACACAAAACACAAATTGCTGTACTGAGTCTGGGATAACAGTTGAAATGGTGCACACGGAGATGGTAGTGCTGCCGGAAGCTGGTCCGCTCTGTCGTACGCCCAGCTGGGCAACGTTTGCGCTGCCAGACGCGGAGCAGTCGTGGCTAGCGATTGTGGTCGTAAAGTCGAGTGGTCGTAAGTCGATCAATACCTGTAGTCTTGTTTTCCATTTCTGTAGTTTTGCCTTTTCTAGAAAGTCATGTGAATTTCAGAATCTTACAGAATGTAGCCTTTTGATTCTGGCTTAGCTAACCTAGAGTAATGCATTTGAGATTTGTGTAGGTTGGTTTGTATCAGTAATTCATTCTTTGTTCTTCTTGAGTAGTATTTCACTGAATTACTATATCACACTTTTGTAACATCACTGGCTGCCAGAATAGGCACAAGCAGTTGAATATATTTGAGGATGGCAAAGAAAGGATTTAGCCCTATTCTGGTGGGAGATTTAATGATCTTAAAACTTCACTTCACATCTGAAGTCTTGAAATGGCAATGTGAATGTTTTTACTTGTTTTACTTGGCAAGTACAGGTTATTCACTTGACTTAAGAAGGGGATATATTGGAACATACTATGTTACATACACAGATCCTGAATTTGTGGTCAGTGGAAACAAGATGTATTTGTTTTCCCTTAGTTTGGGGATATTGCTTTTGTCCCCTTCTTTTTTTTCTTTCTATTGTCCCCTTCTTTTTTTTTTTTTTAACGTATATTCTCTTTGAAGTTATCATAAAGTAATTAGCTTCTTTTTGAAGTTAATTTAATTCCCCTTATTTTCTACCTGCCTCTCCAGTCTACTCTGCCTCTATTTCTTTGGTATATCATAGAACTAAGCCTAGTTATTTTAGAGTTGTTTTAGAATAAAAA